GAACCTTCTTCAACAATTCAATGTTCTTTTTGAAAAAGGGAGCCCAAAACTGTACACAATATTCTAAATGAGGCCTTACAAGTGACCTATACAGTGAAACAATAATATCCCTTGTCTTGTATTCAATATTTCTATAGATGCTACCCAAAATCCTATTTGCCCTATTGCTAGCTACAATACACTGTTTAGATGACTTAAATGATTATTCAATCTCAACACCAAGATCTTTTTCTTCAACCACAGTATTTATATATTCCCATTTAAAGTGTAACAATAATTTGAATTGTGAAACCTACATGCATCACCTTACATTTTGGATAGTTAAACATCATCTGCCACGTATTGGCCCAATGTATTAAATGATCTAAATCTCTCTAAGTCTGCAACATCTTTGATACAGTTACCCTCCCAAAAATCTTATCTGCAAACTTCAAAATTTTGTTAGTCATTCCAGAGTCAATATCATTAATATAAATCACAAACAGCAGAGGATCCAACAAAGAGTTCTGAGGCACATTGCTTGTAACTGTGATCGAGGCAGATCTAACTCCATTTATTATTGCTCTCTGCTTTCTACTCTCCAGCCAATTTTCTATCCAATTTAATAACATTTCCCCCACACCCACAGATTTAATTTTTGTAACAAGTCTTTTGTGAGGCACGTTATCAAATGCTTTCTGAAAATCAAGGTACACCAAATCCACAGTATTTCCTTCATCAACTCTTGCAGTAACATTCTCAAAGAATGACCGAAGATTTGTTAAACTAAACTTTCCCTTAGTGAAACCATGCTGGCTCTTTGACACTATATCAAACTGTATTAAGTGACTCTGCAACTCATCTTTAATCACACTCTCCAAAACCTTTCCAACTACTTATGTAAGACTAACTGGCCTATAATTGCCTGGACAATGTTTATCACCTTCTTTAAATATTGGACTAACATTAGCCAACTTCCAATTTTTTTTTCTGTAAAGAATATGTATGTTCTATATGCATATCAGTTTTTCCATAAATGCTTCCTACATCTGTTCAAGATCTCCTCCCAACTCTTTTAGTCCAATCTACAAAAGCCAGATCATGTCTCATTCCATCAAAATTGGCTCTCCTGAAACTTGGAATCAGGGTACTATTCTTCTTCAATTCTACATGTAGTATAATCTCACACCTAATAGTGAAATGGTCACTTGTACTTAAATGCTCACTAACCACAACTCTGTCTATTATATTCACATCGGATGCTAATATTAAATCTGATATAGCTTCGTCTCTTGTAGGTTTCATCACCAGTTGGTGTATAAAAGTATCCTAAACAATCCTTACTGTCAAACTCAAAATTTTCCCAATCAATACCCCTGAAATTAAAATCTTCCATAATAACACATCTTTTTCAGCTACCATTCTGGTCTCATTACACAATTTCTCATTAGCTTCTACATTCTGACTTGGAGGTCCATAACAAATCCCAATTACATAAATTTTCCCTTTATATATCCACCAACACTAACCCAAACAGACTCAACCTCAGTGCTAGTTTCTTTAATATGCTCTAACTCAACAGGATGCAATTCACCCCTCACATATAAAGCTACTCCTCCCCCTTTTTTCAATACTCTATCTCTAGTAAATAAACTGTAGCCTGGTATTTCAAAAAAAATTCTCTCACCAAAATTGTTCAAATCCAACCAATAGCAGAATAATTCCATTAAAGAGTTAATTATTAACACATGCTTCAGAAACAGTGTTAAGAAACAATCTACAGATATTTTATGCAACATATTGAAGAGTGGCTCATCACATAAAAGAGGAAAGGTATAATTTTCCTATACTGAAAATGTATTTCCGATAGGTATTTCCCTTCTCTCACAAGATTAGCTTTTCCTGTTTTGTGCTGCCCTCTATATGCGAAATTTTTTATAACACATTCCACAAGCCTTCCTCACCTTCCCTTATTGGAATCAAATATTCCAACATGTCTCTCATGCAAATCATCATGTGTCATCTCTCCTCCAATAGGAGAGCAATACTATCATGTGATGCATGTAACTCCCTCTATACGCCACTATCGAACCACCACTTTGAAGTTTGGCAGAGGACGTAAGAACCGGAAGATTGTGGGATGGTGGGTAGGAAGTGTGAGAGGAGGGAAGTACCTATCGAAAATACATTTTCAGTATAGGAAAATTATAACTTCAGATACAGTACTTCCCTCCTCTCACAATATTGGCTAGAATCCCATATTGAAAAGGAGGAGGGACCGGTGCAAGGGAAGAACAGACATACCCATGGAAAGCATATGAAGGATACTTCTGTAGATGATCTGAAGAGGGACACTGCACCACTTCTGAACCAGGTATCTCCTCACCATGAACAGCTAAGAACAAGCATGGTAGAAAAAAAGGGATCACATCAGAGTGGGAGAAGATATGACAGGAAAGTGATCCCAACAGCAAAATATAGAAACTCAATCCCACAGAAGTGAAGTGGGTAATGGAGGATGCATCCCATGATGTAGAATGGAATGGTGTACATTCTTGGTAAGTCAACTACATCCAAAACCTCCTTGCTGGGTACTGACATCTGTGTGTGGGTAGGATGACAATCATACCGGCTTTACCTCAAGCTCCTAAATCCTGGATGTTAGGGAAACACATTGACTCCAAGGAATGACATAGGATAAACATTGAGCCAGGGATCTGGGAATGTGCAATCAATTCCTGCAACTATGAGACTGGTCTGTAATGTCCAAAGGTCAAAAACATCCTTGTCACAAGAGAGAATGGGGGAGTGCCCAGAACAGAAATGGAAACATCTTAAGTATACCTCTGTGACCCACTACATAGAAAGAAGAATCGAGGGAGGAAGATGGACATCCCCAAAATTGTGTGAGAGCTTAAGTTGATTGGTTTACTTGATATCCAGCCTGCGAGGTACCGACACCTGGGAGAGAGTAGGATGAGGGCACCCAATCGAAGGGGTGAACTGCATTTAGATGTTTCACTCCGTGGGATGTGTCACTCAATCCAGAGGTTGTTACACCTTCTAGATTGGCAAAACACCACCGTCCTACTCTGAACTGAATGGTTATAGCCATCTATGTGGATCCCATCCAGCAGGATGCCTCCATGACCAACCACCCCAGTGGGAAGGGTGCAAAGAGGAATAAGCAAACTGGATTACACAACGACCCAATTGGTAAGGGTAAAGGGAGAAAGGTCCTGAAAGGAAGAGGGTTGCCATGGAAAAAAAGAGATGGGAATGGGAACCCCTGAAGGAAGCCATGTGGGCAATATAACAACAAAGGGCACACACCGGGCATAGTAGTCTATCTGGGTTGAGATGAGGGTAGAGATGAGAAATAAAAGGAAGGGAAATGGACGTAAAGGAGGAGTTACCCTCTCGAGCCGCTGAGGTTTTGGGAAGGAACAATCCAGATAAAGGAGAAGGTAGGTTTGGCGATACAGGGTGCGAGTGACGTCGATTGCTAACAGATCCAACTGACAACACCTACAAGCCAAGAAGAGAAGGAAATACACCTTAAGGGATACAATGGGCTCAAACGATGGTAAAGAAAGGGAATCGAGTACCACGTTAACGTCCCAATCCAGAAGTACCGGATGTCTAGGCACCCAATGTATCCAGAAAGAACAGATCAAAATGGCAAGGACAGGGGAAAGAAAGACCTTGCAGTAATAAGAAAAATGAAAAGTATGGGATAGGGCTGACAGATATCAAGGAGAACGATGATCCCTTCTCAAAAAGCCACATAAGAAACTCAGAGATACCTGCAACCATAAGACGAGAAGTGTGACAAAACATTCCATTTCTACTGATACACAGCCATGGATGAAGGACATAAGGAATGATCTAAATAAAATGCCAACCGACTTGAGAAACTGGATCTCCTCACCATGGACCAGACAAAAACAAGTGTGAAGATGGAGGACATAAAGTGTGGGATGCTCATAAATAAGTTATTCTCCTGAATCCAAACAAAGTGGACAGTAAGATGCTTCATAATGCTTGATGTGACAAATTCTGGTAGTCTATGAAAAACTTTACAAGAAAAATGTGTAAAAGGACTGTCCAAATATATTTCATAATTTAAATTTACTGCATTATCTAATTATATATACATATACTAATTTAAAAAGTGCAAAATTACTTTATTAATATGAATTTTCTGGTCCTTAATTTCTTAAGAAGTTTCATTATTATCTTAGATTTTTGACAATATAGTCTTAAAACACACACAAAACTATATTTCCCCAATACTTGTCTTTTGATAAAGGTAGGCTAAATGAAAAAAATCCTAAACAGAAATATATATTCTATAAAAATTAACTCACCATAAATGGTGCACAGCCCCATATAAATGCTACTCCAGCATTGTTAAAGGCATATGTTCTTAGTAAATTGATCTCTTCATTTCTAATTCCTGTGACTTGGTTTATGAATGGAAGTTCCCATGCATACAGTTTCAACACCTGTTCAAAGAATACAAAAATGTATTTAGTCTGTGTGTGTGTGTGTGGATGCATAAAAGTCTTACATACCCTCAAAGTTTTCTTAGGTTGATGTTCAAGTTTTGCAGATAAGATTACTATTATTAAAAAAGGATCAAATACATAAAAATAAAAAAAATTCAACTTATAAGCCCCATGATCAAATCCTGGCCTACACAAAACTTTCCTGAAAGCAGTAGCAGGTTAGCAGCCAAAATAGGGTATAAAAATTAGTTAGTGATTAGTATCTAGTAATAATAATAATAATGCAGGCCTAGAACACCTAGAAAGTTATAAAAGATTTGATTCAAGTTTCTAATAAATTTGAGGATAGATTATAGATATGGGGTTCAATAATGCATCAAAAAGATAGCTAAGAATATTCTAGTTATTTCTAGCTGGTATAGTGAATTGATCTTGTATATTTTCATTTCAGCTGTGAAGTGATACAAGTAAGTTTTCTTTACATTAGTACAGATAGCATCATTTGTAAATGTGGCCTACAAATGTATTCAAGGTTGTAAGAATGTCAAGGAAGAAATAAACTAATATGATATCCTTTATGTGGACTTAACTTTGAATCATTTTCAACAGATAATTTAAAAGAACCTGTCCCAAAAAAAAGAACAAAATTACAACAATATAATACTACATAATTTATGTTCATAATCAAAAAAATGATGTGATACCATAACCTCATCTTTTTCATACTTGGTTGCTTCAACTGTTTCATTTTGTATAAAAAGTGTCTACAAACTATTTTAAGTTCAAACTAGAGGGACACTCAATAGAGTGCATTCCTCTTCCACACAGCATTGATCACATTCGGCTCTCAAAAAATACGAAAATGCAAAATTTGATCATTTTTGACTGAGTTCTAGAGCAAACATAGTGTAAAAAATTGGGCCCCATATTAACAGATATGGATTTTTTTGGATATTCGTGACCTTGCTATAACCTTGACCTTTGATCTTTACCGTCCAAAAACTAACCATTTCTATCTTGGGTTACAGTACAGAAGTAAAAATGAAAAATTTCACACACATGAGACGTAGCTTAGTAGTATACAAACAGTACTTATGAAAACCCTGGTAGAGCTGTTATGACACTGAAATGACTTTAATCTTCCAGTGGGGTTGTAAAGTAAAGAAATCACAAAAATTGTATAATTGAGCTAATAAATATATTTTTTGCACCCCTATAATTGTATTGTATGTATTCTTTAAATATGGAAACAACCAGACTATCATCATGACCATCATTCAATCATCATGTGGTGTTTGATATGTTACAGAAATTGTGTTATTTCATTCTTAGTCAGTTGTACAATTCTTAAGTGTTCAGAAGCCTGTACGTATTATGAAACTGTATAATACTCAAAAAAGAAAGTAGTGATAAATTATGTTATGTTATAGTTTCAAATAATGAAACTCATATCAAGTTTCCTTAACATATAAAGTTATTTCATGAAAGATTGAAAATAGTAAGTTCACCATCACACATTTGTTGATGTACTGGAAAATGCAAGACTGATACTCTACACTTGGCTTCAAATGTTCTTTTATAAGAAAAGGTAAACAGCAAACTGTAAAATCAACGTAGCCTCAACTATAATGTGGATAAAGAAAGTGATAGAGAACAAATCACACTTGAAGAAAAAGTGACTGTAGCAAAATCTTTTTTTTTTTCAATTTAAAACAGTAAAATACAAAACAATATAAACAGCAGTGTGCTTCCACTATCTGTACAAAACAATATAAACAGCAGTGTGCTTCACTATATGTACAAAACAATATAAACAGCAGTGTGCTTCCACTATATGTACAAAACAATATAAACAGCAGTGTGCTCCCACTATATGTACAAAACAATATAAACAGCAGTGTGCTTTCACTATATGTACAAAACAATATAAACAGCAGTGTGCTTTCACTATATGTACAAAACAATATAAACAGCAGTGTGTTCCCACTATATG